GATGTGCCGCTGAGAAAGTTCTCGTTCCCGGCAATATTCCCAGTGAGAATATTCTCGAGAACCGAGAACGCTCCCGGGAATATTCTCAGTGTTCTCGTTATAATACATTTAGTTTTAATTTAAATTTTGTTGTTTATGTGATATTATTTGTAATGTTTCGAAACTGGGCGTTAAGACTAGTCGTTATAAACAAGGCATGACATGTGTGAGTGAGATATTGCTGTCTTGCTCACTCTTTTCGTGGCGAACGCGTACCGCGGCTTTAGGACTCGGCTACGGTATTTGAACATCAGTGTGCCTCTGAGTTTTAAGGCCCTTGCCACCCTAGCGGATTGCAAGCGGATTCAAAGCGGATTTAAAGCGGAGCGGCAACGCGACGGAGACGCCGCGTGAAAATATCGTGAAGCTTCCCGAAGGCTGCCCAGCCGAGCTGGATTCGATGATTGACCTTTTTTCGAAGTTGAACCTACCTAACTAGACTTTTTGTCCCAGGTATACATTATTGTCAACAACTTCGAGTGTAGTCTCCAGCTTTTAGAGGAGTGGGTGCAACACGGTCTTTAGACATGATTTTTAAATCTTGTCCATGTTCATTTTGAGACCCACTCGTTGAGAGACTCTATTGAGGCCATCGAGCATTGTGCCTAGATCGTCCACGATCTCGGCCATGACTACGATATCGTCTGTTGTCTGGGTGATGTGCTCGCCGTTGATATTTATGCTGAATCCGCTCTAGAAAATCAATTTGATACAGAAACTGCGATTACTGTAGAACGATAATACAAAGAAATTTACAATAATTTAGTTACGTATCGCATTTTATGAAAAAAAAATACATGAAAAAGCTAGGGTGGCAAACAGGTTTTTGTATGAAAGGTAAAAAAGGACTATTTTTAAAATATCTAAATATTTGGTAATAAGTAGGATTATAGCTATAATTCTTCGTTATCTTAAAGATTAATATTCATCCTTCAAAATTGTGTGTGTGTTTTTTTTGTGTGATGATTTATAAATATAAAACTTTTGAACTGTTTCAAAGCACACTTTTTTTTTTCAAAATGTACATTTTTTTTGAGAAATACTCAAATAATATTGATAATTATCAAAAAAGAGGGATTCTTCATAATTTTCCTTTGCCATGTCCAATACCTATGATTGACAGCCATAAATACCTAAGCACCATTACCATTACCAATACCAATTTTCGAATTTATATTTTAGACATTTTCTAATAAATAAAATTTCAGGAAACCTCTGGATGCAAGCCGCTTTGAACTAGAAATCATTGGAAGAGACCTATTTTTAGCAGGGGACGTCTTATGGCTTAACTGATGATGATGAAAATACTTTTTATCCGACTACGCCAGAAGGAGGGTTATGTTTTTTTCTTATTTCTACTATAAAAAATCTAAGGTACTTAAACATTATAATCGCAATCGTTTTCCAGAATACGGCGGTGGGATACGACGCTTTTTATTGACGACCTCCGAGCCGAGTGGCCGTCTATAATAACCATCTACTACATCTACCTACGTAGTTGCAATAGACTTCATTTGCATAGACTAGTAGAATTCTTAACGCATTTGATGGTACTTTAGTAGAGAGGACACTCTGTGGTCCCGAAGGTTTAGGATTCGATTCTCAAGAATACAAATAAATAAAATACCTCTCTGTAGAAATTTGCTCTGTAAAACGTTGTCAAAATAAAATTGGTTGGCTATCTGTCAAAATTATAGGCAATAGCCTTGTCAAATAACTTGCTGCTCGGTTTAAAGTTGGAGGCATCGTCCTAAGTTCGGTGGTCATTCGTTTAAATTAGCCCTAAGTCCAAAATGCGGTTGGGGCCATCGGTCAGCCCGACCAGCGCGGCCACGTAATCCGGCCCGCCGCGTCGGCCACGGATAGGGTTACCAGATTCAAAAATATTTCAGTAGTGCTAACAGATTTTTATTATTAAGTTCTTTATTCTTTATTTTCATTAAGCCAAAAGCCTTTGTTTTTTTAATTGGTTATCCTTGTTAAGCTTGCACTGGAGTTGAGCCTGAATTTAGAATTCCATATGTGAATGAATGCAAATGAGTCAAAATTTAACTTTAATATATTAAAGACTTTTCATCAATTACCACTCCTTTGCGTCGCGCAGTCGGGTAAAAAAGGGGCATGTTACTTTTAGTGGCAAATCTCCGCTAGGGAGCTAGGTACCTAGTTATGGAACACCACTGAATCACTTCATGAATAAATAAATATCCATAAAAATGCTGTCGCCTGGTCACCCCAGCCAAAAATGGTTAGAGTACACTAAATGTACGACATTTAGTAAACCAGATGTTTAGTACAGACACCGTTGTTCAATAAACTAAAACTACTAGCAGAGGATACGAATTACAAACATCTTTATTAAATGAAATATCGCATGAAATGAAATATGTAACTATAGAAGTGTATAATTCAAGGGTACTATGACTATGAAAGTACATTTAAGAATATGATTAATCAAAGATACAATGTTAACAATTATAAAGTAGCTTTTAAGTTGAGAAATAATAATTTTGATTTAAAACACTTCAAGTTCCGCTTGAAAGAATCTGCCTGTTAGTCCTTAAAAATTCAAAGTAAGTAACACTAAAGCTCGCGATTTTACAGCGTTCAATATTGGATCCGAATTGGATTCAAACCTACAATGGCCACCAAAATTGCGATCATGGGAACCTTTGTTTATATTATTAATTTGGTGCATTGCTTAGCTGAGCTATTTTCAATTAACAGCAATAACTGGACAGTAAATCTCGGTGGGGACCAGCTATGCGATGATTGCGGTCGCCATCAGTCATAGTCCGTCATCGGACACATTATTAAACTGATTTATGGTTTAATATACGCCGGTATTAAGCTACCTACATTCTGAGGTTGTTACTGGTTAGGTATTAATGTGATTCCATTCCTATTTCACGTTTTCTAAACATCAATTGCTGCAGTGTTTGTTTGTGGATCGATCCTAACAATATTTAGACATACATTTTCATACGAGACCATAATGGTTCGCACCTTCAAAAATAATGATCCCATCATGTAGAGCGGTCTGTGACTTAGGCCAAGGACCCTTTCCCATACTTTTATACATATCCCAAATATAACTTTCCCTACACAATAAGTAACAGAATCATCTCAAAACTCTCGATACGTGTAATTAACGGAAAGCTAAAAATAATATCCAATGCGAGAAATAATATCGAGCGCGATATCGCTCCGAGCGAGGTAATGGCGTGTTAAATTAATGCCCTCCAGTTTTTGACAGTTTTCTATTAACCCCGCGAATTACCTACAAGAACCACTCCGCTAAATGGTTAATTGCGATCTCGTGGTATTGGCACAGATTGTTAGATAGTATTGCTCATTGGAGCTGTCGAGAAACAAAAATATAGTAGACTAGCGGCCGCCCGCGACTTCGTACGCGTGGATCCCGCATTACCCCCTTAGGGATGGAGTTTCGTAAAATCCTTTCTTAGCGGATGCCTACGTCATAACATCTTCCTGCATGCCAAATTTCAGCCCGATCCGTCCAGTGGTTTGGGCTGTGCGTTGATAGATCACTATGTCAGTCAGTCAGTCAGTTAGCCAGTCAGTCAGTCACCTTTGAGTTATATTATACAGTGTGAGTCACGTTAAAAACCTTGTATGTATAAACCTTCCATGAAACTTGTTTATGTTTGTTGCCAATAGATGTCACTGTACTTTGAGACGCGTAAAGCTGTACCGCGGTGTCCAGATTTTTTTCCCTGGCTTTATATATAGATGACCCACGCTGAACTGTCCCGCCAAACTCAATGACAGGGGGGCGCTACCATCGTTCAACTATATGGTTTCCAACATGGCAAAAATCGGAACTAGCGATTCGGTATTGACGGTGGCGCCCCACTGTCAATGTCATGCACAGGACAGTTCAGTATTTTGGAACTATACCTGGAGTATTTTGACATCTGTGAACCATTGACAACCTGTGTCAAGCAATAAATTGTCACCTTAATATTGACGTCTTATTTATACCTAGATAAGAGTCCCTTAAGTGCGCCGAGAGTATCCGTGGTTTATTCATGGTCCTGTCGAGTCGGATATCATCAGGAAGCTAATGTCCATTGGGCACTGGTAACGGTGCAGGTGCCGGGATCACACTTTGTGCATTTTTGGAGGGGGGTGACGTCCTGGACAGTGGATCGCTGTCGCAAACAGGACAGGTGAAGAAGCTGGGTCAGCTAGGAGCTGCTGACACCAGTTTGACAGTACCAGCTGTGGTGCTGTCAGGGCAACCAACTGGTTGAGGAAGATCAGGAGATGATGATGGTGGTGCTGCGCTGAGGTGGTGCCATCTGGTGGAGACACGGTCGGAGCCCTAAGGAGTTCGTCTTGGAGCCCTAAGCAGTTCTTGTCGGAGCCCGAAAGGAGTTCGGGTTCGGAGCCCGAAGGAGTTCGTGTTTGATGAAGAGTTCGCCGTCTATTGTGATAGTGTGTGAGTGAAACGGATACAACTGTGAGTACTCTTTTGGCATTTTATTATTGAGAAGAAGATTGAAGGATTTTGGACTTTATTTACACTGGTAGTTTAACTTACAAAAATTTAATTGTTTACATTGACTTAGAAAAATTTTAGATTAATATTTTAGGACTTAGAATAGTTTTGAAAAAGCGGTTGCTACGGGGAACCTATGCCCGTTTTCTGTCAGAGTTGTCAAACACTTAGAATTTTTTACTATTTTTGGAGTTTTGTTTACATTTCAATTTAACTGTCATTTATGATGGAACGTTTAGAGAACTGTCAGTTTGACCTTGCGTCAAGAATAGAAAAATCAAAAGTCAATTTCATAAAAAGTTCTAAAGATCGTTTGACAAAGGAGTATTTAGAGGGAAAGTTGGAACTTCTTGAAGGTTTGTGGAATGAATTTCTGTTGGGTCATAGGGAATTGTTGCGCACTACGGAACCTAAAGTGTTATCTGAGTCTAGGTATATGCAAAGCGATACTTATGACAAAGCAGAAGATTGTTACATCGATTATAAATGTAGATTGAAAGGAGCTTTAGCTAAATTCTTTATAATCCCAAGTTCGTCCAACAATGATTCCAACCAGCCCACGATACAGGCGCCTAATGTCAAACTACCAAAAGTGAATATTCCGATCTTCTCAGGAAAGTACTCGGAATGGAACACCTTCCGAGACTTATTCCAGTCTTTGATACATACGAACAAGACACTAGGAAATGCTCAAAAATTATTGTATTTAAAGGGGTACTTACAGGGTGAAGCCGAGCAACTTTTATGTAACATTCCGATTACCGATAGTAATTACGAGCATTGTTGGGGCTTATTAGACGAGAGGTACAACAACAAACGGTACATCTGTCATCACATTTTGAAGAGACTACTAAGCCAGAAAAATGTAACTTGTGAGTCGGCTAGTGGTTTGAAAGGTCTGATGGACACCACAAATGATTGTTTGTCCGCTCTGTCTAATATTGGCATAGATACAAGCACCTGGGACGTGCTGGTAATTCATATAATAACTTTGAAGTTGGACCCTGAATCAAAAAGGCAATGGGAGTTTAGCATCGCGGATAATAACTCTACCGAGCTACCAACTTACGATCAGTTCGAACAGTTTCTTAAAAACCGTTACCGCGCCCTTGAGTTTTTGAGTTCAGAGTCCAAACCAATTCCTAACAAAAACTTGCCTGTTAGTCAAATTAAGGCCATGCACGTTACCACGTTAGTCTGTCCCTTTTGTAAGAAGGAGCACAAATTGAGCACGTGTAAGGGTTTTAGGGATACGTCTGTGGATTTACGTCGCGAATTTGTTGCTTCTCACAATGTTTGCTTTTGTTGTCTCGGAAACAATCACTCTGCCAAATTCTGCCACAGCAAATACAAGTGTCGCATATGCAAGAGAAAGCACCACGCTCTGCTGCATCCTACAAACAAAATTGCTGCTAAGGAACCCCAAAACGGGGAGGTTACGGCTGACAACAAGAAAGTTGATGCTGTTATTTCCTGCACGTCTACAAGAAGCACTGTGGATTGTAGCCAGGTATTGCTAGCGACGGCACTTGTAGATACTGTTTCTAAATACGGCCAAACTTACACGGTTCGTTCTCTACTGGATCAAGGATCCCAATCCTCTTTTATTACAGAGGCCATGGTTGAATTATTGGGTTTGAAGAAGATACCAGCTAGAGGGCATGTAGTAGGAGTAGGTGGCACGAACGGGCTCACGACAAGATCGATGGTAGAAATAAAAATAGCATCACGGGTTGATCCAAACTTTATTATGACGGTGAATGCTTACGTACTAGGGTCCATCACTTCGATTTTGCCTAGCCAAAAGATAACAGCGGAGGAGTGGAAGGAGCTTGAGAACATTGTCCTCGCGGATCCGAGCTATTATACTTCTAACAGTGTAGATTTGTTGTTGGGGTCAGAAGTATATAGCCGGGTTATTCAAAATGGAGTCATCAAGGGACCGCTTGGTTCACCACTTGCTCAGTGTTCGTCATTGGGGTGGATTCTGTCTGGTGTTGTTCACACGCCCATGAAGCACTCTGAAACAATAAAAGTGATGCACTGTAGCGTGGAGGATAATCAGCTTCAAAGAAAATGTCGTAAGCTAGAAGATGACATGCCGTGGCCAAAGAAAAGAATGTCTACAGAAAATGAGGAGACACGTGAAGGATACTTTACCAGAACTACTCATAGAGATGACACTGATCGACACATTGTGCGTTGTCTTCCGTTGAAAGATGAAGATCCCGATGAGAAGAATTCCCGGCAAACACCTGAAAAAAGAATGTATTCATTAACACGTAGACTGAAAAATGGCGATCTGAAACAGAAATACACAGAGGTAGTTAGTGAATATGTTGACATGAATTTGGATCTCGGTGAAGATTCTTCAACGGCGGCTGAGAAGATACTGTCAGACTTTCATGTGGACGATCTCATGATGGGTTGCGGAACTATCGATCAAGGGAGTCAACTTTACAGAAAAATGAATATGACGTTAGGTAAAGAAGAATGTAGCAAACGCACCACGATTTTCGCGCTGAGAAGGGTCGCTTGTCGCTAATTGACCAACTTCCAAAGCTTTGTTCAATCGTTTAATAGAAATTGTTCGCTTTCGACGCAAAGACGGTAAATCTTGCATAGAATATTCATGTTCGATTGATTTAGATTTAGATTTTCTTAACGTTTTTCGCGTCGAACGTTTGCTTAAGAGTGACATTTTACTTTATAAATACTAAATGTAAAAGTGTAAAACGAAATATGAAATTAATAAAAAATATTAATTTTACTCAGTGTGTTACCACCCTAACGCTTGACTAGACAAAAACGTGCGGCCGCTGTGGAATGCAGCTGCGAGTTGAATTGATGATGCACACACGCATACAGGTTACGCACAATAATGATAACAAGTGGCCGATATTTAAATGATACGTTACGCTAAACGTTACAGGTACGATTACAAGATACAAAATGACGACTGTAAATATTACAAGTTAGCGTATTCAAAATACGAAATATAAAAATTGTTTACGTTAATTTGAACTGAACTACGATAAAATATTTTACTTTTAAAATGTTGTTCGTAGTTGCTTGGCGCTGGATCGGTGCGATAAGTACGAGAGATCACCGGTGGGCGCGGAACAATGCAACTACCCGAAAGTAAAAATAAAAATGTAGGAATGTAGTTTCGATATTTAAACGATATTACAATATGTTTTAGATATTGTACGATAAATAAAACGATTACAACAAATGTACTAGATGAATGTGGATGAATGTAGTGTCTATAAATAGAATTAATGTAAGCCGATGAATAAATTAAGCACCGATTAATGATGAAAGATTGCTTAATTTGATCCTACAATAATTCAAGACAATACTTAACGATGTTTAACGATAGGAATTCGGATAAATACGATATTACTGATGTGACCCGTAAGCACTGATACCGCACGATGTTGGATTAAGTAAATACTGATTAAATAGATTAACTCTGCAACCAATAACCGATGAATGAAATGAATAGATTTTACTAATTGCCGAGTATTTCAACCAGAAATACCACGATATTTGGAACGCGATACAGTACAATTTACAGGTGCTAGGTGGAAACTGTCCCGGGTTTCGGCACCAAAAAGGATGTAGCAAACGCACCACGATTAAAAGGCGATTGGTGGCTTCCTGCTACACCTGGATCAAACCGTAGAAGGCTTGCCGGTAAAAAAGGGATCGATGTTCTGTACGAGCAGTACGCAATGACAAAATACTATGCACTCACGTACCTTGAGTAGATCGTTGACAGTTCCACCTCGAGTATGGGCAGCAGCAGTTGGGAATTCCTTCGGTTTCTAGCACATTTGGGCGTGTAGATGATGAGGTAAGTTGAGATCACATGGGAGGGTGACTAGCACACGCGTCGACGGGCCCGTTAGATTCGAATAGAATATGGCGATGTGACCGATGCGGCCTCCAAAGCGTGACTGCCCTCAAGTTGTCAATAAAAATCCAACTCGAAGGACGGAGCGCATAAGCAGCCTAGTTTGACTGCGTTTTGTCACTACATCGATACTTATGCAGAGACATCGATACCCGCGATTATTATGAAAATTAAACGAAAAGTTACGATGACGGAACAAAGAATGTGTGTTGCAAAATTTGACTACTAACAATGAAGATTTGGTAAAGGCAATGAAAGAGGGTGGTAAAGTAAGTCAACGGAAAGGAAACGAAGAAGGGCTGAAAAGGAAAGCTAATGAAATAATAAAAAGTGGTGGTATTACCTGGAGCCGTAGTGAAGATGTATACCGCTACAAGGTCGACGTGCAGACCTACGAAGAACCTGAAACAAAAAGAAAGGTTAGAAATAAAAAAAGGATACGCTTGAGAAACGCAATGGGTATTCAACAACAGTAGAGATATAGAAGGCTATGGGTTGAATAGTATAGTTGCATGCCAATCTGGATACTTGAGTGCTGATGTTGAAATGTAAAAAATGTGTACTTATCCAAACGTATTTCTCTCCGGTTCTTGATCCTTTTCTAATGTGAACATGTTGAAAGTTGGTTGGAGACTTGAAAACTCACAGGCTTATGAACGTCGCGCCATAAAGAAAAACATAGAGGTGGACTATGTTAATTCGTCAACCTAACAGTTGGCGATTAGTTGTCATAAAGGAGGACAACTAGCTACGGGTCTTGGCTCAGTGGCAGGGTGATTGTGGTCCATCCCGGTAACGACAATGTTTAAGTTGTACAGTTTCTAGGTAAAAGATTTGGTCTCCTTCCTAAAGCTGAATAATTTTAGTTTATTTAGTTTTAAGGTTTTGAGTATATTTAATATGTTTTTGTTATTTTACGGTACAAGGGTTTTTTACATGGTTTATTTTTATTTTATTGTTGATGTGTACCGTAACATGTTTCATGGTGGGCGATGCATTCGCATTAAGTTTCATTGGATTGTTTTTTCCTGTTGTTAAGGACCTAGGACGGTCCTTGGTGGGCGATATGTATAAACCTTCCATGAAACTTGTTTATGTTTGTTGCCAATAGATGTCACTGTACTTTGAGACGCGTAAAGCTGTACCGCGGTGTCCAGATTTTTTTCCCTGGCTTTATATACCTGGAGTATTTTGACATCTGTGAACCATTGACAACCTGTGTCAAGCAATAAATTGTCACCTTAATATTGACGTCTTATTTATACCTAGATAAGAGTCCCTTAAGTGCGCCGAGAGTATCCGTGGTTTATTCAGTGTACATATGAAAATAGATGAAACTAGACCTATTTTTATCGACAAAAAAGAGGTCAAAAAATTTTTGAGATTTTTTTTTAATTTTTTATAGAATTTTTTTTCTTTCAATTACTTATTGTAAAGAAAACATAATAACTTTTAAACTAAGCGGTATATCTTAATAAAATAAAAACAGTAATAATGCTTAATAACAAGCAATACTAAAAAAATACATAAAATACACAAAAAAGGCCAACAAGTAATAAAAAAATTATACTTTTTGAAAAAAATCCGCTTAAAAATTCGTGTTTTTTTGGTTATTTGATAAATTTCTCCAAAAAATGCCCCTATAACCGGTAGTTTTTATTACTTTGTATTATTCTCTATCGTATTACCTTCGCAAAACGAAAAATCGCATGTCTCTATNAAAAGGGGTTCCCAAAGTAGGGGGCGTCCACTCTGAGAGAATACATTACAGACTGCTCTATACGACAAATAAATAATCTGGACTAGAGCGCGTCTCAAATAAGCCTTAAGTGAATGAATGGTAAGTCAAAATTACTTTGTTTAAGGCTTTTCATAAAATAGGGGCATGTTACATTTAAAGTAGATTGTGCTATGGCGGTTAAGGAACACCACTAAGTCACTTCATAAATAAATAAAACAATATCCATAAGAATGCTGTCGCCTGGTCACCCCAGCCAAAAATGGTTAGAGTACACTAAATGTACGACATTTAGTAAACCAGATGTTTAGCACAGACACCGTTGTTCAATAAACTAAAACTACTAGTTGAGAATGCGAATTTAAAACGTCTTTATTACTCGTAGATTAAATATTGCATGAAATGAAATATTATGTTCTAGCTATAGGTTTATAACTTAAGGGCACTACAAAGGTACATTTAAGAATATGATTAATCAAAGATACAATGTTAACGATTACAAAGTAGCTCAACGGTTGAGAAATAATAATTTTGATTTAAAACACTTCAAGTTCCGCTTGAATGAGTCTACCTGTTAGTCTTTAAAAAATCAAAGTAAGTTACGAGCTTTAGCTCGCGATTTTACAGCGTTCAATATTGGATCCGAATTGGATTCAAACCGACAATGGCCACCGAAATTGCGATCAGGGGAACCTTTGTTTGTATTATTAATTTGGTGCATTGCTTAGCTGAGCTATTTTCAATTAACAGCAATAACTGGACAGTAAATCTCGGTGGGGACCAGCTATGCGATGATTGCGGTCGCCATCAGTCATAGTCCGTCATCGGACACATTATTAAACTGATTTATGGTTTAATATACGCCGGTAGCTACCTACATTCTGAGGTTGTTACTGGTTAGGTATATGTGATTCCATTCCTATTTCACGTTTTCTAAACATCAATTGTGCAGTGTTTGTGGGGATCAATCCTTACAATACATATTTAAGCACACATTTTCATACAAGACCATAATGGATTCAAAAATTCAAAAAGAATCGTTTCCAATCATGTAGAGCGGTCTGTGACTAAGGCCAACCTTAATATCTTTGTGGACCCTTTCCCATACTTTTACATATACCAAATATAACTTGCCCTACACAATAAGTAACAGAATCATCTCAAAACTTCCGATACGTATAATTAACGGAAAGCTAAAAATAATATCCAATGCGAGAAATAATATCGAGCGCGATATCGCTCCGAGCCGAGGTAATGGCGTGTTAAATTAATGCCCTCCAGTTTTTGACAGTTTTCTATTAACCCCGCGAATTACCTACAAGAACCACTCCGCTAAATGGTTAATTGCGATGTCGAGGTATTGGCACAGATTGTTAGATAGTATTGCTCATTGGAGCTGTCGAGAAACAAAAATATAGTAGACTAGCGGCCGCCCGCGACTTCGTACTCGTGGATCCCGTTTTACCCCCTTAAGGGTGAAGTTTCGTAAAATCCTTTCTTAGCGGATGTCTACGTCATAACATCTACCTGCATGCCAAATTTCAGCCCGATCCGTCCAGTGGTTTGGGCTGTGCGTTGATAGATCACTATGTCAGTCAGTCAGTCAGTTAGCCAGTCAGTCAGTCACCTTTGAGTTATATTATATTTAGACTTACACCCGTATTCACAAACAATGCTTGCTTTAGTGAAGCATAGTCTGTGATTGGTTCGTGTGTCACCATTATTCGTGCGTCCACGCGCACTGTGAGACTTCATAGTAATGTTTGTGAATACGGGCATTACTAAGTAAATTTTATTGCTGCTCTAATGTTAAATGAAACTTTAAGTACATAGGCATTTAACATTTTCTGTTTACACAATATTATTGTATGCATGCGGTGTTTGCATC